ATCTAAGCAGTCCATGCTGTTGATGGACATTGCCCTTGACATGGGCTGACTGATGGACTCTCCACCTAATGATGAGGAGATCTTTTGGGATGGTGCTGTGATGACCTTGAGGTCATATACACCTGTTATGGTAGAAAATATCCCATTTTCTTGTTAAATGTTCATTGTCTCTGTTTCCCAGAAGATGAGGTAAATTGCTGTGTGACATAATTACTGTACATCATGTTTACTTTTCCTCCCCAAAATTCAATCAAGAGGAAAGTCAGTACTGTACATCAGTAAAATGTTTTTCACAATTTTCTGAGTGTCAGAAACCCTCTCACTTGTACATTTCCTCATTTTTAACCATGGTGACCATTTCACAAAGGTCTTTTGCTATAAGTATAACTCATTACTGGAAAGGAATTGGGATCTTGAAAAAATTAATACATTTAAATTTTGTTTTTGATGATATAATAGAGGAGTGCTCCTAAGGTAAGTCAAGATGTTGTAAGATCTTCCAATAAAATATGGAAAACAATGATCACAGAATAAGTACAGCCCACAACTTTTCTTGAGTACATTTTCTTCAAGCCTATTTCTTTTCTTGAATCCCTCTTCAAGTACATTTCATGTACAGTATTATAACTTTTTCAATTGACTCATTTTTCAACTATTCCCTCAGAAATATTGTTTGAAGAAAAAATGAGGCAGTCATTTCATTGCTCAAAGGGACTAAAAAGGTAGAATATATGAAGACTTGCCTTCCTTATCCAGAGGCACCAGCTCAGTGGTGTAAGTGCCTGCAGAAGGTTCCACCTTATTGTAGGCCTTGTCTTGCACCTGGATGAAGTTGTGTGCAATGTAGTTGTCCAAGGATGCCAGGAGACCAGGGTTCTTCCCCTTTTCTAACAAAGAACAACATGCATAATAATGAATTAACTTGAAAATAAGTCATGAGCATTTTATAAACAAAATTGTCCATCTGCAAACTATACATTTTTATAAATAGGAAGCGGAAATTATATTTTTTAAATGTAGATTTTGTAGCTAAATACTTTCTTGATGAAAATATCAAAGACTTATTATTAGGTTGGTTTAACATGGATGTTGTGCATGGTTTGATGAATGTCAAAATACTGTGTATGTCAGTTTTCATTTCAACTCATCAGCAAAGATGAATTAATGCTTCAAATTTCTGAGTTGAATTCTTTTCAATGATTTATGATGCAGTATGAAGTTGTACTATAGTTGAAGGGGAGTTTTTATTAAAGAGAAAATACCCAAATTGTGGTTTTTTCTGTTCTGGATGATGGTTTGGATGGAAGAATTATGTAATTTAAATGGTCAACTTAATGTTTCAACATGTTGAATTCTCTGAAGTGTTGTTTTTTGAAGGAAGCACACATTTATTTGGTTCTTCTTTTTGGTTTCAGTGCCAAACTATTCCTTTAGCTTATAAGATCATTAATTCTAAATTTGAATCCACTTTAAACCAATATCACATATTGATATGCTGCTTTTTAAAACAGGTTTACTCACATTTTGCAAAGAAATATTTTTCACTAATGGTGTTTTCAATCTTAGTCATCACAAATTTTGTAGAAATCAGTTTTAATATATTTAAAATTCCCTCAAACTCACTTTTTCTAATGCAGCAATCATCCAGATACACTCAGTTTTAGATTAGGTAGAATTCAGATTTTTCTCAATTCATGATTCACAATAAGTTGAGTCATTGTCTTTTACTAAGCATATAAGGTACCTATTTTTAAGCATAGTTCCTTCAAAAAGCTTTTTGGTTCCAAATTCTCTGAAGTTTGATAGATTAGTATGTTTTATTGTTTTGAAAATATTATGATTCTATGAAAATTGCAGTAATATAAGGCTTGAACATTTTAAAATATTAAATTAGTATAATAGCTTAGTTGTGAACACAGTCAATCTGTGTGCTTAATTTATTCCTACTTATGGTTTCAATGTACATTTTAAAAGTACTGTATAACAATGTTAGAAGAGAAAAACTCACTTTGTGTAATCATTGAGGAATTCCACACTCAAGAGAAGGTTGTTGAGCACAAAAAGAGCAGGTTGCTGGACCAGATCCTGCTTCATGTCCTTGAAATTGGCCAGTTTCCTCTGTAGGCCAGCATTCATCTTCTTTTCTATATCTGTGGCCTGTCTCCTCAATTTCACTGTAGGCCCTTGTTCTTCTTCTTCTTCAGCATTTTTTGGGGTCATTTTTGCTCCTGATGATGATGTTTCTGCTGCTGGCCCAACATTCACAGGTCTGGACTGGCAGCAACCCATTTCAATAAAACTACACCACACTCAAAGTCAAACTGTGTGAAGCTCACACTTTTTCTCACCTTCTCTGGATTTCTTTTTCCCTCAACACTCTTATCTCATAAGCATTTTAGGAATTCCCCAAACTTTTTGAGAGAGAATAGAGATTAGATTCTGGGTCTCAGACTTGTNACACACACACACACACAGGTGTGGATTTTGTCATGTTTGAGATAAGACCCTTAACCTTGTGTTGTTGGAAGTCATTAACAGAGGAAGGAATTTTACAGCCTTGTATATTTGTCTGGGTATATTATTAGTTTGTACCAAAGAAGTTGACTGATGTGTGTGTGTGTGTGTGTCTCTTCTTTTTTTTGGGGTTGAAATCCATAGATAGAAGCAGTGGAGTGGCCATTTCCTGACTTGAGTGAGGCATCACCAGGGTTGCCAGAGTCAGATGAGCTGAACAATGTTGGGGACTTTTTGTCCAGGAAGGAACTGGATCTTGTCATCAACTTGCCAATGAGAAATGGAGGTTCCAGGAGAGTGTCTTCTTTCATTACCCAGGGGTACAGGACCAGGAGGATGGCAGTGGACTATGCAATCCCTCTGGTGACTGATGTCAAGTGTGCCAAGTTGCTGATTGAGGTAAGAGGCACTTATTGTACTAAAAAGTACATGTACAGTGTATTTTTTTACCTTTTTGGTTGAAATCTTTTTTTAAATTATTTCTTGTGGGGGTAAATGGAAATTTAGAATTTTAAAGAAATGGGATATATGGTAAATGATTCAAACATATTGTTGTGTTCTTGCTACAAGGACCAAATCTAATTTTCAAGCACAATTTAAAATTTTCAGGTGGGATAAAAAATTAACATTGCTTCAAAAATTGGTTTAAAAGTTTGTTTTTCTTCCTCTCAAACAGTTTCATTTTTAAGCTTACAATGTTGTACCAGAAAGTTTCTTTTCAGGTGTGAAAATCTGACACAAATTTTGCCAATGCTTTTTAAAATTATAATTTCAATGCATGCTTTGTTTCTTGTCTTATTGCCAATGTTTACAACAATCTTTTGTTGGATATGTTTTCCTCACTTGTGAGAAACTAGAGCAAATTTTGTCAGAGAAAAAAAAAATTTTCTTGAATGAGGTCATTTGATTTTTGCCTATGTTAAAAATTTCATGCTTTCTTTCAATTGCATACCCAATGTAAACACATGGTGGTGGTTCCTCACAATTGTGTGTTTGTTTCTCTTTGTTGTTGTTGTTTTTCAAATATTGAAAAATTGGTACAGTATTCAAAATTTTGTTTTGGTTTTTGTCAATTTTTTCTATATCATGATGCAAATTTCTTCCCTCAATCCAAGTTTATGTGCCAAGTTTTTGGAGTCACTCACAATTTTTTTGTTACAGGCTTTGCAGTTTGTGGGTGGTGAGCCCAAATTGCAGACCTCAGTGGACTGTATCAGTGCTGGACGTGTGGCAAGACTGCCTGGACTGGTGGACATCCATGTTCACATGAGAGACCCTGGACAAACTCACAAAGAGGACTGGTCCAGTGGCACCAGTGCTGCCCTGGCTGGAGGCTTCACTGTGGTCTGTGCCATGCCCAACACTGAACCTCCTGTGGTAGACAGGGCTTCACTTGTTGGTGCCCTTGAGGTATGTCTCCTGAAAGGAAAAAAAAATCTTATTAATATGTTTTTGACATTTTTTTGTTGTTTTTGTTTCAAAAGGTTGCTAAGGCTGGAGCCAGGTGTGACTATGCACTGTACTGTGGAGCCACTGGGACCAACTTTGAGAGAGTGGCAGAGTTGGCACCACTGGTGATGGGGATGAAGATGTACTTGAATGACACCTTCAGCACTTTGCAGATGGATGACATGTCTGTGTGGCTTGAGGTGAGACCTTTCAGCCACTGCTTTCATGTAGTTGAAAATGAGCATACAAGTGACTTATTGACCTAATTCAAGTGTATATAGTTACATTTTATTCACATGTGCCTGCATGTATAGTCATATATGAAATTGCTTCTTAAAAGAGCACTTCAAATATAAACTCAATGTCACAACTCTCAGCTTAGAATTATTCTGGTTAGCAACAATAAGCATTGAAAGGATGGTTTTCTCTCTCATTTCTTCGTATATTGCAACCTTTTGTGTGTTGACAGTTTGACACCAATTCAAATGGGGTTCTACTCTTCTACTATTCTCCAAGCAGAGACAAATAAGAACTTCTTGTCCAGACTTTGCCTAGATGCCATTTTGGTGTTGCATGTTGCTTGTATCCAATAAAAAGAGCCTTTTGTACATTTAAAGAGTTGTTATGAGGAATTCCTCATTGTTTTCCTAAAATTCTAAAAGAATGCAAAGAACAATATACATTGAGTATAATGAACTATAAAGAGTAACTTTTGTACTGAATAGGCCAGATAAATTCAATGAAGTAGATCTGCTGGTTATTTATAGTGATGATGAGATTCTGTTTTTATTTCAGCCACTTAAGATTATGTGCCAAAATTGGATTTAATTTGGTTGTAATCCTATAGCTCTAATGAAGACTGTGTATTATTCTTATGAATTGACCCTGAGATGTATTCATTTTTCAGCACATGAGGAACTGGCCAACAGATTCACCAATTGTTGTCCATGCTGAGGACAAAACCATGTCAGCTGCCATCTTTGCTGCATCCCTGATCCCACGCTCTTTGCATGTCACTCATGTGTCCAAAAAGTCTGAGATCTTGACCATTAAAGCTGCCAAGGCCAAGGTGAGAGGGGTATTATATGGAGGCAGCCATGACAGGGTGTAAGAGCTTGTTTTGCTCTGGCACAATATGCATTTCTTTTTGACAAAATTATGTGTGTGTCTTTTTCAGGGCATTGCTGTGACCTGTGATGTATGTCCACATCATTTGTTCTTGTCAACTGAGGATGTTCTTAAATTGGGGTCCAAGAAATCTCAAGTTAGACCAGTTTTGGGATCTATGGATGACCAAAATGCACTTTGGGACAACATGGACGTCATTGACTGTTTTTCCACTGATCATGGTGAGGTTTTTTTTTTTTAGCAATGACGTCTATATATGAATAGAATGTGATGGAGGAGCAGAGGATTTATAATCTCGGGGGGCAAATGTGCGTCAATCTTTATAATATACAGTACTGTACAATCATATCCAAGATTAACGAAAAACAAGTTCAAGTGCTTAATGTTGAGGAAAAATAATCTTTTCCTCATATGCGGTTGTTTATACATGGTTTGTTTCTCTGTATCTTTTCAGCACCACATTTGATGGAAGAAAAGATTAACAACGGGGTTCCAGGGTTTCCAGGACTTGAGACAATCCTGCCTTTGTTGCTGACTGCTGTTCATTCTGGAAAACTCAGTCTTGAGGTTTCTTTCATTTTATAATTTTTTTCTTCTTGGAATTGGCCTAATTTATGCACACAAAAAATTTCCTTGGCCCTAGGTATAATGATTTCAATTGTCTGGATTTTTACAAGTTTTTTCTTTGGAGGAGGAAATATTTTTTAAAACAATTTTGAGGTTTATTTTAAAATTCTTGTGTGGGAATTATTTGCCTAATTTATGCATATTTGTTTTCTCCTTGGCCCTAAAATATTACTGTGGTTTTAATTGTCTGGATTTTTAAAACTTTTTCTTTGGAAGAATAACACATTTTTGTGATTGATTTGAGGATGTTTTATACTTGGTTCATATATAGGATTTGCTGTACAAGCTACATGCAAGACCCATGGAGATCTTTGGCCTCCCAGAGCAGCCAGAAACTTATGTAGAAGTGGACTTGGATGAGGAGTGGACCATTGGTGACAGACCATTTTTCACCAAGTGCAACTGGAGCCCATTTTCTGGCAGGAAAGTCAGGGGCTCTGTCCAAAGAGTTGTTCTCAGGGGCAGAGTGGCCTTTGTGGATGGAGTGGTGAGATTAAAAAACATAACAATTTTCATCATTTTTGTTTTGTGCAATTTGACTTATTTTACAAAACTATAAAGGTTTTGGCTGAAAAGGGCACTGGAGTGAACATGAAGGACTCTGTGAGTCCCTTGAGGCCCAGGAAAAGAGGAGTCAGTTTGACTGTTGTGGACAAATTCATTGCCAGGGATGTGAAGCTGGGCAAACATGAGCCTCTGAGTGTCAAATTATCTGCCCCTGGTCAGTTTTTTGTTGTTGTTGAATTTTGTCTTGGTATGAATGTATTCCATTTTTCTGCATGAAAAAAATCAGGATTGCCAAAAGAAGACCATCAGCACAGCAGCATAGACCTTGACTGGAAGAGAGAAGATGGTGTCAGGTCCCCTCAGCCTGGGCAAGGGATGATAGTGTCACCATCAGTGTCAAGGTCCGCAACACCTTTGTCCTTCACCAGTATGCATCATGGACAGCACAAACCCATTGGCTTTGACCCCTCTCTTCACCATCCATTGCACACCTTCTGTCCAGCACATGAGTTTGTGGGCCAGAGTTTGCTGAGTGTGGACAAGCTGACCAAGGAGCAGCTCAACACCATTTTCTACTATGCCAACTTCTACTTGTCTGCTTTCAAGCACCAGAGGTCCATTGAGCCTGTGTTGAAAGTATGTATCATTCTTTATAATTGAAAAAAAAACATGCAGAGGATGTATCATTGCCTTTTGTTAACAGGGAAAGCTGATGGCATCTGTGTTTTATGAAGTGAGTACAAGGACCAACTGCAGCTTTTCTGCTGCAATGCAGCGCCTGGGGGGTTCAGTGGTCTCCATGGACACAGTTTCCTCTTCAGTGAAGAAAGGAGAGTCATTTGAAGGTGGGTATAATGTCTTCTTCAATAAATATGTTGTGATGTGGTTGAACATGTTTTTTTTTTTTCATTGGTCTTCAGATTCCATGATCATGATGAGCACATATGCAGATGTCATTGTCCTGAGACATCCTCAACCTGGAGCTGCAAAGGTAAGCTTGGATCTATTTATCCTTCATCCATTATATTTTCTTTATAGTTCATGTATGGGTGTTGTTTGTTTTATGTCAAAACTATAAGCTGGGTTATCCACAAGATATCCAAATGAGAAGGAATTTGAAGTGCTGGAGCAATAATGTGACTTTTAGGCAATATATGCAGAAGGTTCTCTTGAGAGAACTAATATGATTTATATGGTATTGTGTTGAGGAAAATGAAGGCCAAGGCTCTTGGTTGATGTTCTTAGTGAGACTGACTTATTTTCTCATTCAACATAAAATGTCACCAAGTCAACATTCAGAACATGTATGGAAAGTCAGATCAATATAAAGCAAGATTTAATATAAAGAAAGAATGCTAAGTTGATATAAAAAAATTCTGAGGGAAAAGCTGGGCTACAACAAAAAAGGGCGCCTCATCTTTTGAGTGGAGAGCAAAACTCTGCCAGGGTGAATTATGAAAAAAAATTCAAAAAAATTTGTCAAACTGGGCTGATATTTTTTGTGTGCCAAAGAATATGTTTTCCCTAAAGAATGAATTTTTTCCAGCTCAATTGTAAGCCATTTTCTTTGCTACTCCGAGAACTTTTGTGAGAACCCTCGTATATTAGACCCCTCCAAAATAATTTTTTGGTATTTTGATCATAAAATTAGTCATTGCAAATTAATGAGTTTTTTTTTCTGAAATGAAACAGAAAGCAGCCAGTATTTGTGCAAAGCCTGTGCTGAATGCTGGGGATGGCACAGGAGAGCATCCAACCCAAGCACTCTTGGATGTGTTCACCATCAGGGAGGAAATTGGCACAGTCAATGGTCTGGTCATCACCATGGTTGGAGACCTGAAACATGGAAGTTGAGCCTGTGTTGAAAGTATGTATCATTCTTTATAATTGAAAAAAAAAAAAACATGCAGAGGATGTATCATTATATATAGTGTTTGCCTTTTGTTAACAGGGAAAGCTGATGGCATCTGTGTTTTATGAAGTGAGTACAAGGACCAACTGCAGCTTTTCTGCTGCAATGCAGCGCCTGGGGGGCTCAGTGGTCTCCATGGACACAGTTTCCTCTTCAGTCAAGAAAGGAGAGTCCTTTGAAGGTGGGTATAATGTCTTCTTCAATAATTATGTTGTGAGTGGTTGAACATGTTTTTTTTTTCATTGGTCTTCAGATTCCATGATCATGATGAGCACATATGCAGATGTCATTGTTCTGAGACATCCTCAACCTGGAGCTGCAAAGGTAAGCTTGGATCTATTTATCCTTCATCCATTATATTTTCTTTATAGTTCATGTATGCGTGTTGTTTGTTTTATGTGAGAACTATAAGCTGGGTTATCCACAGTGCTGTATATCCAAATGAGAGGGAATTTGAAGTGCTGGAGCAATAATGTGGCTTTTAGGCAATATATGCAGAAGGTTCTCTTGAGAGAACTATATGATTTATATGGTTTTGTGTTAAGGAAAATGAAAGACAAAGTTCTTGGTTGATGTTCTTAGTGAGGCTGACTTATATTTATCATTATTCAACATGAAATGTCACCAAATCAACATTCAGAGCATGAATGGAAAATATAAAGCAAAAATATCAATATAAAGCAAAAATTACCAGTTTACCTTCTGGTTCATACCAGTTTTCTAATACAAGATAGCTTCACAATAATTTTGGTAAAATAAATTAATCCATAAGCCATCAAAAGAGAAGCTTCAAAATCATTCCCAGGATATCTGGATTTAATAATGATTAATAAATACAATCATTCCTAACCAGACAACTTTGAATGATCAAATAAGATGAAGACCACACATATAATTCTTGCTCTATGGCAAACAGAAATTTTATTGAGTTCTGATATATGAGTTATAACTGTGTGCAAACTTTCAAGATGCCCATGGGGAATGTGAATATATTTTTGTGTCATTCCTTTTGAATCATAGTCTGTTTGTTGAAATTGCACCCTTACAAAAAAATACCCAGGAACATATTTTCAACAATATCCCTATTAGAAAGAGAATTAAAGTCAAAATTTAAAAGATATGTTTTTATGCATTATGAAAAATTTAATCCAATCAATGTGTTTGAAGAGGGATATAAAAAGTTTTGAGCTGTGCTTCAAATCTTTCCCCATTTTGTATTGAGTATCAAGCATCATATTTTCTTAGAAAATTTGGCAGCATTTTGCTCCAGGCCCTTCTATATTAGACCCCCCTTCCCCCAAATAATTTTTTGGTATTTTGATCATAAAATTAGTCATTGCAAATTAATGAGTTTTTTTTTCTGAAATGAAACAGAAAGCAGCCAGTATTTGTGCAAAGCCTGTGTTGAATGCTGGGGATGGCACAGGAGAGCATCCAACCCAAGCACTCTTGGATGTGTTCACCATCAGGGAGGAAATTGGCACAGTCAATGGTCTGGTCATCACCATGGTTGGAGACCTGAAACATGGAAGGACCGTTCATTCTTTGGCCAAGTTGCTGACTTTGTACAATGTGCAATTGCGCTATGTTTCTCCAGCTGGATTGTCCATGCCTCAGAGTGTGATTGACTTTGTCAAGTCCTGCCAAGTCTCCCAGGTATGTGATGGTAAAAAATAATACTAATGCTGGTTTGTTCTCTCTTGAGGAATGACTTTCTATTGCTCTTGTATAATAGTAGATGTCACTCTTGTCTATAGTATTTTGTTATTTTATTGGGTTTCTCAATAAAGTCTATATTGTCCTTTTCCAAAATTGTTTCAGTCTGTTTATGGAAGCCTTGAGGAAGCTCTACCAGGGACAGATGTGCTCTATGTCACCAGGATCCAGAAGGAGAGATTTGAATCTGAGTTGGAGTACAAGAAGGTGAGACTGTTCTACTTTATTGTACATTGAACAACTACTGTACACTAGGCATATTGTAGTATATACCATAGTCAAATACACTATATAACTAATGCATCACTAAAAGTTCTCTGCACTTTCACCATCTGAGTCTTGTTAAACAACAAATATTTTTGGAACTAATTGAAACAAATTAGTTAGGAACATACATTTGTTGAAATGATATGGAAAGAACTTCAGAAGTGTTGGATGGTGAAAAAACCTTATTAGCATTACTTTTTTAGATAATTGTTGCACAGTAATGAGATTCTACTGTAGTGTATACTTGACAGAACTTTTACTGTATTCATAAAATACCTGTATACAGTAATGTGATGTATATTATACTAATACTTTCTTTCTGCATTACTATAGCAAGACTATATATTTGAACAGATTGACTCTATATACACTTCAAAATTCAATAATGGGCCAAGACAAATTATTGTAGAGAATTTTGTTGTGAAGAACCCTTTTATGGCATGAGAGAAAACTTCCATGAGGCCAAAAAATATTTACCTGTACAGTACATAGAAGTTTTTTCCACTGATTACTGATTTAGTCAACCGATTACTGAACATACTATATGAAGTACTTATAATATACTGTACTATATTATATACTGTACTATAGTTCTCCTATACCAAACTCATAGTCACTAGTAATTTAATTACTAAAATTGATGATTATTACTGTTTCAACTATAAAAAAGCTGTTTTACATGAAAATTTGCTGAGAAATTCAAAGTATATTATATGTTTTTGAAATTATGAAAAAGCAACAGGAATATTATATCTTATTTAAAAAGTATTAATTAATAATATGTATTAAAATTTTCCAATGGGTGTTTCAGTGCTGTGGGAAATTTGTGGTAACTCCTCAACTGATGACAAAGGCCAAGCAGAAGATGATCGTCATGCACCCATTGCCAAGACTCGATGAGATCCTCACCGATTTCGACACTGACCCAAGAGCTGCCTATTTCAGGCAGGCAGAAAATGGCGTGTACATTCGAATGGCAGTTCTCTCACTTACTCTGGGCAAGACCAGTTCTCATGTCGGACAATTGTGAATTATGATATGACGCTTTTTTTCAAATTTTTGTTTTGATTTGTTACAACTTAACGTATTTTGGGACATGGTGAAATTAACTCCTCGATTTTGACTTCACGGGTCATATGATTTGTCTCTCTCGGCTGTTTTGTTGATGAAAGAAAATTTTGTGCAATATTTTTCGACTCGTATGTGATGTGACTATTCTGGAAAAAATAGACCTTTGGATTTTAATTTTTGCGCCCATCATTGAAATATGTCAAGTTCGAATGTGTATTAATTTGTTGTGGATTTCTCCCTGTTTTTTCTCAGTGAATTTGTCCTTCGTTATTGTGTTGCGTAATGACAGTGACATCTAGCGGCGACGTGGTTCAAACCTGTGGTCCACGGACCGGCGGCGGTGTATAAGGCGGCACAGGGCACGAATACTTGATCAGGTAGGTTAGACTCCTTGGGTTCTCGAGGAAATCTGCCGGTCCACACTTCAGGTGCACAGCAGGGTCACTGTGTAGAATTACAAACAAATCCCCAGTGTGCACCAATTTCCCCCCTTGGGCAGTGTTAGCTAGGATTTTATAAGGTTTAAAAAGGATTGGATATGTTTATAGGATTTTAAAAGTTTTGTCTGGAAATAGAATAATTTTTTATGAACACAATCAACAGTATGTCATTCGCTGTGTCCAGAAAAAAATGAGAAACGCGAAGATATATTATCGATAAATGAGAACATTTTCGAAAAATGAACATATGAATAAAAAAATATCGCTAGTTGCAAATTTTCCGAAGTAAAGTAATTCCGACAACAGATTACCAGAATGTGACAACAGTGTGTTTGTGTTTTTCTTTTTTTACAGGAACGATGATTCAAGTTCTGGTTTCGGAAATATATGTGTGAAAAACTGGTTTCTGGTTGCTGAAGGCAATACTGGCAGCGACTCACAGCGGCATCAGGTAAGAACAAAAATCCAAACTTCTCCTGCTTTTAACATGGCTGTATTATAAATCCTTTTTCTTTCGAATCATCAAATTCAATAATTTCCCAATCATAAATGTTTGTTGTATTATTCTATTTTGCCATTTTCCGGAAAAAGCTTCAATCAAGAAACATTCAATTTTTATTGCATTTTTGAAACTCATATGTTATCCCAGGCAGAGAATATAGACACTACCGTAATCACTATCGTTTACCATCATAATGCCATTTTTCTTTGATTATTCACAGTATGTGACCAACCAGGGACAAAAACTCCAAACCTCACAGCTTACAATCCATGTAATTTAGAGAAGCATATATATTTCAATATTACTCTCAATCATCTCCAATTTTATGAATTTGACGAATATATTTCTTTACAGGTACGATGGGAGTTCGGGCAACCGAGACGGGTTTCCTGTCAACACTGGACCTGTAAACGTGCTTTCATGTGTCAGGGTTAGAGAATAAATTCAGCACATTTAATTTATTAAATGGAGTTCTTTTTCTTTAGAATAAAACATCAACCACTGGAATAAAAGAGACAATGAAAGGTAAAAACATTGGTAAAAATTGTTCATTTCAACACTGAACATTATCGCAAAATTGCGATAATGTGATTTTCTGTTTTTTTAATCATAAAATGGGCACAAGTAATTTTTTCCACCCACCCAAAAAAAAAACCCCCATTCACGGACACAGCATCATTGTCGAGAGGTACACAATCCATGGATCGTGAAGGAAGTCTCGCCATGCTGCCGCCAATGAATAGGGGTCCTTTTTTGGGTAGGTGAACCGCCCATTCACGGACAGAGTCATTGGCGAGAGGGGGTATCTCGCCATGCTGCCGCCAATGAATGGGAGGAGTCGGGGAAGGGTTTCATGTCTACCCTCGTTAGGGTTTCATTTCTACCCTCGTTTGGGGGGAGTCTCCTTCGGCGTGGTAGGGTTTCGTGTGTACCCTCGTTAGCGTTTCATTTCTACCCTCGGTGTCCTTCGGCGTGGTAGGGTTTCATGTCTACCCTCGTTCGGTCAAAGTGGTAGAGCTGCTGCGCTGATTCCAAACGACCTGCTCCGGAACCAGTAGGGACAAGTGTAGGCTAACAGATCCAGGGCGCTGCTTGGGATCCCACCGCTAAATCCGACATCTTGATGCGCAAGCGAAATTCGCAGGTCAATCGGAGGCACCTGTATCAACCAACCAAGGATGCATATAATTACACTTTCTCGAGCGGGTTCAGTAGCAAATCATGGAAACATACAATGTCTGTCCAGCTTCAAAATGAGTCCAAGGGAACATTTGTTTGCCACTAAAAAACTAATTTTAAAATTCTTTTTGTAGTTATTTTTTCCAGCATTTTTGTAGCAATTTGAGGTAATAAATTATTTATTACCTCAAATTACTTCATTATTCTTAAAATAATAATGTAGAATAAGCAGATAATAGAATAAGAATACGAATATTACAATAAGAAGATTCTCAGAAAAATTATAGTAATATAGTAAAGGTATGAGAATAATTGATTATTGATATGATACTAAAAGGATAACTAGATTACAGTCGTAAATAAATTAAATTAAATTTTTATTTGAATATTCCTAATAACAACAATTTCGAAATTAATGATTATTGCATTTTCAGATTCTTAAACACAGCATGGCAATTCAAACAAAGAAAATCCTTCGTGGGAAAATTAGGATTCCCATTCGATTCTAAAATGCGTTCAAATCTCATTCCATATGTTACTCCTTACGTCAGTTTATTTGCACAGTACAAATAAAAACAGGAATTCATCCTCTCATAGATGTCACTAGTACCTGAACCATCCGCAAAATAATGGAATCCATGTCAAAATAAAAACGTGGTACGATGTCCGAAAAGAGGATAAAATCTTGGCATTAAACACGCAAATGCAAAATAATCGGGCGAATTAAAAATTATTCATACGTCTCTCTCTTTCTATCAAATGTCTATTAATCCAAACATTTCTCGCTTCTATTTCCTGAACACTTGTTCGAATAACTTCCTGAATTTCTTTCGTTCGATGAACATTTATTCATAAAATCTGGCAAATACGTGAACATTTCTGAAGGTCACAACTCACTTCTCCACTGCCGTCGTTTTTCTGCACAATAAAAAGATGGCCAACTCTGGATGCATTGAAGTCGTTGAGCACGTCACTGGATATTCCATCCACTTGAACGAATGCCAGATTTAACGCATTTCTCCTTCACACAAGGCAACGTTGTCCTGGTCATCCGTGACCTTGACTAATTTTTCTTTACTGCCCAAGAAACTTGATGAATCCCGCTTTTTGCCATTCCGGAAATGTTGAGGCCCGTGCGATGCCACCAAGAACTGAAAAATATTAAAATTATACTCGTACACGTCAATTTCGGACACGTTTTCCGAAGACTACCAGCGAAAAAGTGTAATTCACACACTCCAGACGATATTAGAGTCAAACCTCCGTACAGGTAGACTTCAAGAGATCAGATCAAAAATTCGATTTAGGGAGGTTTCGAGTAACGGAAAAAAAGCATTTTTGTCGCGGGAAAAGAAAGAAGTATTACAAGAAATTAGAAGTGGTGATATTCTAGGCCTTGAATTGCTTCTTAAATGAGTTGACGAGATGCTGAACTCGGGAAGGTTTCATTCGCCCAGAATAGTCCTCCACTTCCTTTCTAATCACATCGAATTAAATTTTTATCTCTTTCCTCTTTCCTGCATCAATAAAATAATAGCCATAAGGCCCGCAGAAAAATGGATTTATCGAGGTTTGAAAACTTCGAGTTAGCGAGGTTTTTCAATGCATTTTTTTTCAAAAGGGAATTCGGACATGGACTCGAAAAAATTTCAACATTTAGAGGTTCGAGTTCCCAAAAACTCACCTGACATTGAGGACACAATCGGCAAAACGTAATTCGTACAAAAGAATCCTGCATACAGAAAAAAACTCATATCACAGAAACTTAGATCAAACGTGAATCTCGAAACTCCCTATACTGTATTGAATTTCTTCAAGTCCCCCTTTGGAACAATACCATAAAACCATTTCAACTCGAAGGTTTTTCTCTTCAAACCTTCGTAAATCGAATTCTACGCGGGCCTTTCGGCTATCATCTAATTGACACAGGAAATAGAACCGCGGAATAAAAATGTATCTTCACGCGTTTCCGAGGACACCAATCATGCAAATACACCCTTTCCTCCAAGCTCAGAATTCAGTCAACTCATTCAAAAAGCAATTCAAGACATAGAATATCACCAATTACAATTTCCTGTGATTCTTCGTTCTCTTCACCCCAACAAAAAAGCTTCCTTCCTTAACTGGAAACCTCCCCATAGTCCCCAACTGAAATTTCTGAGCTATTCCCTTGAAATTCGACTTGGACGAGGTTTGACTAGGTAAGGAAAGCAAGAACAGTATGTCCGGTACTAACTCTCCCGAGAAAAAGAACAACCCACCACGGCGACGATTTCATGTGTGATGCCGTCCAGGAAAGTATCGTTGTTTCTTCAACAGCGGCTGCATTTGCCAACACGAGCGACACTAGAGAACGAGATGATGATTCCGAACTGAAGAAGACGCTTCTTCGATCGTCGAAGTTGTTTCTCTGTTGATCCGGATCCACCGACAACCTTGAATGTTCACGGATCCAAGCTCAGCAGTCCGACACTCAAGACAGGAAGAACACCTGGGATTTACACATAAAACCGATTTGAGTACGCGGTACGAAGAAAAAAAAAAACAACCACGATTCAATTGCTTTCTTGGAAAACTCCAGCAAGATGTTTCGGAGAACGTTACAGACAAATCGCAATACGAGGTGAAATCAAAAGAAAATGTCACTCCCAAGTCTCAACAAATCGAAAAGAAGTCCGGCGCTAAATATTTCTGCTGGGGTGTTACACACCGGATAGAGAAATACAGTACAGAAGAATGAAGTTCACGAACGAATTCTTTCGAAGTTGCGAGGAGGAAAGGAACTACTTTAACACTGATCAGATTTGAAGCAACTCATGCGACTTGACGTACAGGATGTGGTAGCAGGCATTAATATGCTTCGAAAATAAAGTACATCCCGTTTCAGAGCCGATACCTTATTAATCTCGCTAGAAATACTCTCAAAAGCCTAAATCTTACTTCGTGATACCGCATTACTGTGCGAATATTACTGAAATAAAGAGCACTTCTGACGGGAAATGAATTTTCCTTCCTAATCTCACGTACCCGTGCACAACCTGAGCGAACAAAACTGATGTACAACACCAAAATACACAAGATTCGATTGAATAAAAACCAATTGATCGTGAATGCTGCTCGGTCAATGGCTTCATTCCATCATCAGGATACGATAAATGTTCCAATAATAATCATCAGCTCACCAGCACATAGTGCCAAAGCACAGTAGATTGCGATGTAGATCCAAAATGAACTCGGATCCATCTGGAAACCGGGTGTTCTCCTCATTCGTGAATATAGTTTCATTGTCAATAACGCGACACGCATACCACACTACCTAGAAGAAAAAAATCTCACACTTAAAACTCTTGAAGAAACAAACGTTTATTTACAAGAATTGAAAAGGTGAAGATCGGTCCACGATGCATATATAATCACGACTATACTTCACACATCTTCATGACGGCACTCGGGACATTAATTCCACAATATAGCTCCGAAAGCAAAGATGCAGTTGACAAGTCGCATCCAACGATCAATAATTCACTGACCACCTACAATTTTTTCTCGAGTAAAATAATGTCCCGCGATTTCGCCTCGGAAACTCAAACGTCGCGCACTAAAGTACCTGTAACAGGTGAATAAGTGGATGAATGAAAACTTCACGTGGTGGCATTTAATAATGTAGTACCGTACCTGTCTTGCGGCACAGTACTGTACAATCGACGTGGCGTCATCTATGGGAAACAATAGCGTCATCTTTTGTTATGGCGCCATCTATTGTGTGTTTATACCGATTAATCTTAGTAATGTACTGTGCGAAAAATAAGGAATTGTATACTTGGGTTAATGTTGTGTATATTTTTGCTTTTTATTTCTGCGATGAAAGATAAGCTCAGAATTCGCTCACAGTGAGGGACGAGATGATGTTTACTGGAGATTATTCCCCCATGTTGAGGTTTATTTAAAGACCCGTGATGCTGGGCTTTGCCCTGACTTCCAATTTATATTCATGAGATTAAAATGAAGCAAGTCTTGGCTGGCAATTTTCTTGTTCCCAACCAAGTAATCGCTGTCACACACATCAGGAAGGAAAGACCACGTTGATTTGACATTTTCTTACACTTTTATATATACAGTATATGGATATAAAATGGAGGACAGGAATGATGAGTGATGGAGGAAATCTTCTGAGTTTTCCACATGATTTGTTCTGAACTCCTGGCTTCTGTTGCTTCTGTTCCATCATCAGGAATTGTCTTGGGTTGTTTTCTTTTTCAAACAGGTGATTGTCCATTCTGAGGAGTGGTGCAGAAATGTATGCATAGAGGATTACATCCCAGACACAGGGTCATCCATGATGACGGGCATTTGCAGTGGGCCAGCAGGGCCAGGTCTGCCACCGATAACACCTGGCCCATGGGCTGGGAAAGCTCTAGGAAAGCCTCTTCTGTGTTGCATCATGAGTCTGCCAACTCCAGCCCTGGGGCCAAAGCCGGCAGATGGCAGGTCATCTTCGCTCCTGGCGACACCTGGTGCGGGGCCATTGAATCGCCCGTGTCTGCGCCTTATTCCTGCGGGTTTCATCCTGCCTGGCCTTCTTGCCAGGCCCAGTCTGGGGTTCACCACTGCTTCTGTGCCCCATTTCCGACCTGCATGTGGTCTTCTCACTCTGAACCTTTCTGGAAACAATAAACCAAGGTAAATATGCTTCATTATCAAATGATGCTTTCACAAAAATGCATACATATATATTTTGAAATGCAGCCTTTTCTCTTGAAGTCTTTTGGAAACCTTGTGAAGCATATGTCACAAAAAACAATGCATCATAATAAATGCAAATAAAAAATCTGAAATGAACTAAATATCTGTGCCTTCTGCTATTTATATGAAGATTCATCAACTTTAAACTGCAAGGATGAAAGCTGGAAAATCATTTCATTACCAATGCTATTTTCAAAATAAGCAGATTAGATGTATGGTGCACATGAGATAAAATGTTTTCCATAATTGATTGAAAAAAAGAATTCTAAGGTTTTGAGCTTTTGCTGTTCATTTGAAGTCCAAAATTCTATACTGGTCTTGTCTGGAAATCATTCAAGGGAAATCTTATTGAAAGGAAATTGAAAAAATATGGCCGTGCAACAAAATTTGCTTAAAAAACTATAGCAGCTGATGAGTGATTACTGTATATTGAATTTGAAGATATTGATACACTTCCTGTGGAAGAAAAATGCTTGAATATAAATTTTCAGGGGATTGGAAGTGTGAAAAATTTCTCTTATGCCAAATATGCCATTTGACTACGAATTTTTTTTTTTAAGTATTACAATTCACTTGATATTCTGCTGGGCACAGTATTAATTTCCTCATAACTAAAAAAATGATTATTCTTGATTAGATATCTGAAGGCTAAAAATCCCTCACAGCAACAATTTTTTTCTTTCAAATCCTCAACTGAAATGAAGTTTTCAAATATTTGAGTACAGAGGAGATTTTTTTTAACTTTTCAAAATTGATTGAATATTTTAATTAATCTAACCTCCTCCAGGTTTCATTCTCCTTGTATTCTGCATTCCACCAGGTACCATTTTGCCACCCCTGAGTGCTGCCATCACAGCCATGATTTCATCTTCATAGTCTGCCAACTGTTTGTGCAAGTTGGCATCCAAGGGTGCATCAGCAAGTTCCACATTCTAAATACAGTATAGGAATTTCAGTGTTGAACAAATTTATAATTTTTCAAGTTTTGGTACTTTTTGATTGAATCCCATCATATGCAATACATGTTTATACAGTCATTCAAATAATTACTTCACAATAAAAAATTTATGTCATTGTCTATAATGCATATGTGTGCAATGTGCATGCAGTTCAACTAAATTAGACAATTGGAAGTGGTAAATGAATTGACCTTTGAATTGAACAGCTCCATTTTGTGTTTTACAGGTCACTGCTGATAAATTAAATCTAAAGCAAAATGAAAGGCATGGAAAATGATGAAAGGTTGTCTAGCTCATCATATTGTACTTTTAGACTTCAATGATGAGAAGTGATGAGAAAATTTTCCTGAGTAATTCAGAGGGTAAATTTGCAATTTTAGGATGGATTTGGTTGTTGGGAAGCATAAATTGTAAAACCTATAATGAATAATGTTGAATAAGTGAAGGTCTGCTCTTATAAGTCCTTGAAAGTAATTCAATGTTATTTTACTAATTCATTCATTTATTGTCCTCTTCAATTCTTCATTCCTTGAGTTATGATGTTCAATTCCAAAGAGAAATCTACAAGGTATAAACATCATCTGGAGAAATCCATCATCAATCTGCAAAAAGGGGAGCGTCCTCTTCAATTAATACTCTTTGCTGCAAAAATGTCTAATTCTTCCATGAAAAAACCATGGCATAATGATTGCATCATGGCCATAATGGAAAACAAACATGCCAAAAGCTGCTTATTTATCACCATACAAACCTGCTGTTGGGCCTCTGCTTTTATGGCAGACTTCTGAGTGGTGATGGCAGTGGTTGGAGTGGTTCCAGTGAACCTGGTGCACAATGGAATGGCCATTTCCCTGTCATCATCATCATCTTCAAGGTCATCATCTCTTTCTTTCCTGCTGAGACACCCGTACCCACCCAGTCAGTACCCCCACCACTGAACCTGACGACGACCACGTGACGACCCTCGCTGTAGACCACTAAACCGGAACGAGTGTCGGAAAAGGGGAAGAACCCGGAGAAACCCCAGTGCTGCTTGCCTCTGGTTACCAACACCTTTATATTTCATGGAAAAAAAAGAAGATAGTTTGCACTGTATCACTCAAATGCTGAAACCAGCTTTTGGAGCACTTACTGAGGATCAGCATTAGCACCAAGAAGCCTCCAGGGCGCATTTTAGCAAAATGTGCCCAGTTGCCAATTCTTTACCCCTTTTTTGTTACCTACAACACAGAAAGCATAGCTCCTGAACACTCTCCTCTAAATATTCAAAACAAGATCACATAGTATATTGAATCACTTATTATTGACAACAAAACATCATCAGGTCAATACTAAACATGAGACTAACATTTCTCATAAAAATAATTCCCTGCATTTGCAACATTACACCTAATAATAATAAAAACTGCAAGTTAAAATATTTTCCAGCATGGGTACCTTCAAAAACATTTTGAGAAAAAATGCACTGTTTGGATCACTCAGAAAATCCCACTCTGTAAATATTTTGAAAATTGGACTCCATGCCTCAACTGCAATTTGAAAATGTGAAACCAATAACACTTGACTATATATATACAATATTTACAATAGGACATCTTTCCTAGTCAACCTTGAAGAGATCAATATGAGATACAATTTTGGAAATCTAAGTGAGTTACTGTTGCAATACTGTATCTGATTCAAAGTGCTCTTTGATTGTGCTGCACTGCATTTCAACAATTTCAAGTTATCAAGAATCAGAACTAAACCAGATACAGTAGTTCTAAAAAAAATGTGATGAAGTACTATGGGATACCAGGAGGTTTGACCAATATTCACCAAAAATTGACCTTCTCTCATCTTTTATAAAAAAAAACATGTTCATTATTGTTTTCAGCTGATTGCCACAAAATCATTCAATCTTAAAATCAGATCACACAGTTGAAGAAATTCATTCTAAGTTGACAGTTGTAAATCATCACTTGAAAAAAAAAAGAGACTGAAACTTTCCACCCACTTGAAAGAATACAGATTTGCTCTCATCTGACCAAAATGAAGTCATCAAATGTGAAAATTTCATCAGATGCACAAGGACAGGTGTGGAATTTATATCAAGATGAAACTTGTAATTTTAACTCATTCACAAAGTGATAATGGAATCATTCACCTCATTTTTTGTTGAATAAAATTCAATTTTTTCTATCTTTGACCACCAGCATGAATCTCTCCTCTAAATATTCAAAACAAGATCACATAGTATATTGAATCACTTATTATTGACAACAAAACATCATCAGGTCAATACTAAACATGAGACTAACATTTCTCATAAAAATAATTCCCTGCATTTTCAAAATTACACATAATAATAAGAAAAAGGTAAGTTAACATATTTTCCAGCATGGGTACCTTCAAAAACATTTTGAGAAAAAATGCACTGTTTGGATCACTCAGAAAATCCCACTCTGTAAATATTTTGAAAATTGGACTCCATGCCTCAATTGCAATTTGAAAATGTGAAGCCAATAACACTTGACTATATATATACAATATTTACTATAGGACATCTTTCCTAGTCAACCTTGAAGAGATCAATATGAGATACAATTTTGGAAATCTAAGTGAGTTACAGTTGCAATATCTGATTCAAAGTATTCTTTGATTGTACTGTACTGTATTTCAGCAATTTCAAGTCATCAAGAATCAGAACTAAACCAGATAAAGTAGTTTTAAAAAATGTGATGAAGTACTATGGGATATCAGTAGGTTGGACCCATATTCACCAAAAAATTGACCTTCTCTCATCTCCTATAAAAAAAAAACATGTTCATTATTGTTTTCAGCTGATTGCCACAAAATCATTCAATCTGAAAATTATATCACACAGTTGAAGAAATTCATTCTAAGTTGACAGTTGTAAATCATCACTTGAAAAAAAAGACTGAAACTTTCCACCCACTTGAAAGAATACAGATTTGCTCTCATCTGACCAAAATGAAGTCATCAAATGTGAAAATTGCATCAGATGCACAAGGAATCCACACCTTAAATATAGTTCTACTTTGAACATTAAAATTGAGTAAGTGTTTCACTATTACCTTAGTAAGTGGAGTAAAAAACAACTTATTTTAAGTTAAAAAAGATAGAAACTGGTGGTCGTACTTTTCATAAATTGTAAAAAAAAACCACATCAAATATAGTTCCATCAAGATGGAAATTGGACTCATTCACAAAAAATGGATCATTGAATACTTCACTATTGTATTTTAAAAAAAAATAAGCATCTGATCACCATGAAGTAAAGGGCAAAATCAGGTGATAATACAAAGATGAGTGAAAAAAAACTGTTATCAGCAATAAGACACACCACATGAGCACATAAACCAGTCATATTATAGTCCTTGAATATAACCTTCTTCCTGGAGCCATTTTGAGTGTCAAAAAACAGGACACTTGAAGGACTCCAAGTCTTTCAAAACAAGGTGGTATTTTCTGCCCATTATACCTATGTCCCAGGGCTTCTGGCATGCTGAAAGTTTGTGATGCTCACCCTTTTCTAGATCTAGAAAGACCCACACACACACACAGCACACACACTTTCCCACACAGACACAAGAAAAGGAACTCTTCCTTCAAGGATCCCCTGATGTAAAGACCTGAAGTACTCTGGGGCTTTTGTGGAAGGGGTGTAAGAAATCAATGCACATGCAAAATCCTGATGGGGTACAGTATATCTCCCCACTGGGGGGGTTTTTTTTTCCTCTCCAGCAGCTGCTGCTCAGCAGTCTGCAAGGCCCAGCTGCAAACACTGGTGGGAAAAAGACTTGAGGGATGCTTCATTTTTGTGTTCCACTGTGGGAAAAGCTGCTGCTCTGTTCTGTTTATTCTTCACTGTGTATCAAAGATCCTGTATTTGCTCCTTGAAGGAAGTGGAAAGCAGGCCAATGAAACAAGACATATGCCAAAAAAGAAAAAAAAAGTAACGGATCAACCCTCATTTACATTCATATTTTCTTTCCTTTTGTGCATGTGCTTGTAATTTTTTTTTCTTTCAGGTTAACCTCCATGATTGCACAAAACATTCAGAAAATTGTGCTCAAGGTTGCCAACTATATATCACCCAGGAAAACAAAAGCAGACCTCTGATATTTTTTTACATCAAAGTACGTTTAGAAAAGAGGAAAACTCAAACACCCACACGAAAAAAGTACAAAACTTCCAATCGGAGGTACTAACGTGTTTTGTAGGTCTTTGAAGGTTATTATACACGTCTTTCATGTGCCCAATGTTGCCAACTACATCACCCAGGAAAAGAAAAGCAGGAAAACAAAATTTATTTTCATGCAATTTTTTTCTCCTTTTGATTTTGCATTTGTGTGTGTGTGTGTTTGTCATGTTCTGAATGTTAGCCTCCATAATTGCACAAAACATCCAAAAAGTTCCACAAATGCTGCCTTTGATTTGCCCAAGGTTGCCAACTACAGTATATTACCCATCAGGAAAACAAAAGCAGACCTGATTATTCACAACAACAAAAAAACAAAGTGTGTGATATGCCTAGAGTTTAAACTATACAGAAAAAAGCAGATTTGGTTTCCAGGCACATATCTCACAAATATATGAGCAGTATGAGTATTTCTTTTTTTTTTCTGGACCTCCGAACAAATGATATCTTTTCCTCTTATTGTACCGAAGACAAATCAAAAGACCCTAGGTACACAACACTTGGTCGAATTAAGGGAAGTTAGGAAAGGAAAGGTGTCAAAAGTAAAACAGACATCATTGTTCCCACAAGCAGGAAAGATTATCTGTGTGGTCTCTTCATATACTGAGCTCTCTCAGGATATTTTCCAGAGGAATATCCAGAGAGAAACCCTTGGGCTTCTTGGTGCAAAATACTTGCTGTAGTGGAATGTTATTCAGAGTATAGGAGGGAATAACATATTTTTCCAATGAAAGTGTTTGAGGATTGATTTATTATTTGCAAGGTCAAAATCTTTTGGAGGTCAAGTGCATGGTCAATATGATCAGTGCTCTTCAGATATTTTTTTGCTGAATTTCACAGGGAAATGGGCCAGGAATTAAAGTGGAAGAATGAATGAAGAATTATTTGTAAGGCTTCGGTTAATAATAATAAAAATATATCTTTTGTTTAATATCTGACCTTTTCCATAATTAAAGGAACAATGGTTTCAACGAAGTTTTACGACTTTTCAATAATTTGGTATACAAACTACACCTAAAATTGAAGAATTTCAAAATTGTGATAGGAATAAGATTGAACTTTGTTTTTTTTAGGAAAAACAGATTGAAAATATTAAGAAGCAAACCATGTTTCAAACTTTCATAATCTTTATACCACAGTGATTTTTTTTCTTATGATAGAAAGATAAATTTCTTCCTGTTTGGGATGTTTTATGCAGATGGTGTAAGTTTCCTGCTGTGAGCATAAATATTTATATGCTGATAAGTTGGCAAAATTACAGCAAAAGCATTGTTCCCAAGTTTCCATGGGGTGACAGAGAAAATAAATCACAGAAAAGGATGAGCACCAAACCCCAGAGTTTCTACTGCACATGAAACTGGTCATAAAATTCCTGCTTAGGTCCAGGAAGTGGTCATAAAGGTTTAACCCCCCAGGGGGTTTCATGCTGTGTGTGTGTGTGTGTGTGTGAGGATTATCCTTACTGTGGTGTTGGTTTATGATGAGGGGGCTTCTTTGGAAAAAGATAAGAATCTTTTGATCCATGTGGGCATGAAATTGGGTTGTTTCCAGGGTGCATGCGCCTTCCAATTATTATTATTTTTATATAGAAAACAAATTATAGACTGGAAAAGGTATTAATTTCCTTGTTACCAAAGTTGCTTCAAAATGCTGAAAAGTTATTAAACCATATGTTTGATGTGGATTTTAACTTGAACTTCAACAAGATTAAACTTTGTTTTTTTTAGGAGAAACAGATTGAAAATATTAAGAAGCAAACCATTTTTCAAACTTTCATCATCTTTATACCACAGGGATTTTTTCTTGTGATAGAAAGATACATATCCTTTGTTTGGGATATTTTTATGCAGATGGTGTAAGTTTCCTACTGTGTGAGCATAAATATTTATATGCTGATAAGTTGGCAAAAATTACAGCAAAAGTATTGTTCCCAAGTTTCCATGGGGTGACAGAGAAAATAAATCACAG